ACCGCAATACTGTTAGAGAGTGCACCTCTATTAGAGAGAATACGGTAAATATAGTAAATACGTATAGAATTGAGAAAAAAGAAAAACAAGAAGAGGGCTGAAAGGAGAAAAGGGAAAAAGAGGTCAGTGACCCCTCAAAAAAATACGGTGGGCGTTCCAAAATATTCACAGAAAACTGCCCAATTGCATATTCTTTCATAAAAATTTCAACTGGCCATAAAAAGAGTTCCGAAAACGTTAGAAGCTCAGTTGAACGAATTCGTTTCGTTACTGTATTCTCGAAGTATTTGTCATCTTCTCGAGAACTTTCAGGTACTTTATGTTATTTGAGAAATGACAAGTGCTGTAATACTGTAGTCAATTTATATTTTATTCTATCTTTACTTGAGCAGCTTTCCTTCTTTTTGGTGCACCTTTTTGTCCTAAAACCATGTGCCAGCAGAAGTGCGTTAATAAAGCTTGAGAGCATAAAGTAAAGTAGATAGATTTTTGAATTACATTGAACGGGTTTTTTTCAGGAGTTTTTTAAAGGCTAGAGCATTATTAACAAGGGATTACAGCTTAGCCTTAATTCTAAGCCAGATCAGGACTTGAACTCATTGCTGGAACACTTGTCCATATTTTCCCAATGTTAATCCAAATTCAAATTCTCTCCCTTTCCCAGGTTCCCTCCATACCCAATTCTCTTGCACAAAAGACAAAATTACAAAATATTCGTAAAAACTGCCCAATGCAAGAATATGCATTCTTGCATTGGGTGTCGGTGCATAAAAAGAGTTCCGAAAACGTTTGAAGAACAGTTTTCCCTCCATGCCCAATTCCCTTGCACAAAATATATATCGAAAAAATTCGTTACCTAAGCTTAAAAGTTTGTCGCTTTCTCTATCAAACGCACACAAATCAAAACTTTCGCATTATCGATTACAATTTCTTTTTATACGTTAAGCTCCCAAAATCCAAACCAAAATTAACCATAAGCATTCCTGTTAATTCCTCTTTTGGTCAATTTAGTGTCAAATTTTGGTCAAATAGAAATCACGAAAAGCTCTTTCTACTCTAATCTCTCTCCATTTTTATATTTTACATTAAACCTATAAGAAAGTTTGTTTTTAGTAGTTCAAGTCTTCATCTTACCCAACTTTCAGAAGTGACAATGCCATTTCCTGAGCCGAGTCACCCAAATTTTACTGAATGGGCGGACACAGAGAAAGAAAAAGAAGAGAAAGAACGGGAGGAAAAGGAGAAGAAAAAAGAGAAGAAGAAGAAGAAGAAAAGAAAAAGAAAGACGAGAAATGGTGGGTGATAGTAAAATACAAGTAATGTCTCAGAGAAGACTCCGGAATAGACTCTAGAAAAGATTGGTCCTCTCGGCTATGGCTCTTTTCTAAAAGTGGCACCCATTACAGACAAACGGTAGTAATCTCGCTGCTAGTTTCATCCGATCAGTCCAATTTTGGTATCATTGACTGAGCCTTATGATCCTTCATATAATCTTACAAAAGAGGAGCTGATTCAGTTAGTCGATTTTCAGAATCAAATTTAATAATATTGGGTTTAAAAGGCAACAATTAACTTTTAAAATGAATAGAATTGATGACTTAGGAAGCTACGAGTTTGAGTAAAACAACATAAAACTGACTGAAAGAGAACGCTGACTTTGGGTTGAGTGAATGATTTATATAAAATGATGTTTCAAAAGTCTCAAAGTAAGAGAATATTTTCGTTCCTGAATCGAAATATAAAAGGTTACATTTGAAACAAATTGAAATTTGCAAGAAATATGCTTTTCCTAAGGGAAGGCCAAAAGAGTAAGATTCTCGTGAAACGCAAAAAGAATCAATTTCTCTCTTATCTTTGCGATTTGGGGTTTTTTCTTGGCGTTTCGAAATTGATCACCCAAATGCAAGGGTAAACTCTCTTTAAAACCCCAAAGAAATTTGGTTTTAATTCTTCAAAAGTAACTCTAACTTTAACCTTCCAGAGCCTGGGTCACTGTCCGCCCATTTCTTTGGTCTCTCAACGGGATTTCGTGTTTCAAAGTTTCAGTCGAACTTTCCAACTCTTTCTACTGTTTAGTTTTTACTTGTCTTCTCCGTTTTTATTATATTCCTTAACTGAATTTCTATATTTCATCAAATCTAAACATATTCAAACAAGAATTTTACTTTTCCAAGATCCCAAATCGTCAACTTTGTGTTGTTATTTGTTCGGATCTCCTCAAAATTCCCAATAGACTCTTAGAAAAACTGGAAAGCTAAGATGTGATTGTATGGCTTTATTCATAGAACTTGATAGAAATTTTATTTTTAAGCCTTTTATTTCACTTTTTGTTCCATTTTTCCTCGTTTTAGTTTTGAACACATTTCCAGGAAAGAACATTTTTGGTGTTTTGATCACTGAAACGTTTCGGAGTTCAATTACGATTCAATTTTAAAGATTAAGGTCTCTGGGATGAAGAATCCAAATCTGGTACTAGCTTTGACATTTCGAGAAGCTGATGCTGGATTCGGATTCCGCAGGGATTCCCGGATTTCAAAACCTCATTTTGCTATTTCAAGCTTTCTCTTTTCAGGTCCCCATCTCTCTACCTAATATCTCTTCAGTTTTGAAAATTTTTTGATAGTTTTTTGTTCGATCTAAATTTCCCTTTATTTTTGCAATATTCATACAATAAACTCTTTCCTAAATACTCTTACATTCAAGAATGGCGAAAAACCTTGCATTCAAAAGTCTTGGGTTCACACGAATTTTGAAACTCGAACACAAAACGCAAGAAAATTCCCCTCACTGTCTGCTTTTCCTTGACTAATGCCTACACTTATTTGTTTTTTGCTTTGAGGGAGATTTTATCTCACAAACAAGATACGTCAACTTTTTCGTGCATGATTCAGGGAATTCAGAAATTGGATGCGTATTGATACGAGAAATGAGCTGGTGAGGATTTGAAAAATCTAACTATAGAAGTAAAGTTTCAATTCTTTGAACTAATCACGAGAAACTCGATCCGGTATTGATTCTAAAAATTGAATGAAGATTCTAAAGATCGTGTTTCACTTTGAGCGATTATAAATCGAAATGTAATGTCATAAACGAGGTCATAATGTAATCGAGAGTTGACCTTTGTGCGTCTTAAATAGCAAGCGCTGAGGCTGATAGATGTAATTAAAGAAAAAGTAATGTCATAAACGAGAAATCCACCTATAAGTTGATAGACATATTCCAGACTATCTGTATTCCTTTTGGACTAAAAATATTAGAAAATGCATTCAAATTGCTTTCGGGAAATGAACTGGAACTTGATCGGTGCATTCAAATTGCAAAGTTATATATCACACGCTTCCATAGCACTAAAGTGTACGTTTTGTGTCACAAGTACATAATATATTTCGATTGAGTTTGTGGAAAAGAAACTTGGTAAGAAAATCCATCAAATGCTTGATTTGAAGCTCTCGTGTTTCAAATATTCACCCTGAAACCCTGAGATTGAATGCTTTAAACCGAATCATTTAATTGATGTCAAGCCACACCGTAAAACCATATGATTTCCCCCTTTTATTCTTTAAAACATTTGTATTAAGATTTTCTGGTGTTTCCAAGAGTTTTGTTTAATATTTTTACTCCATTTCCTCCTCATTCCACTGGGCTGGTCATTTTTGGTGATAAACAGCTGAAAGAGCCTCTCTCTTTCCAGTAAAAGAGTACATTCCCAACCCAAACTTACAAAAGAAATCATCAACGTGTTGGGTAGAAAATTTAAAATTGGCGCAACGAATATTCGAATTAGCATCTAATTCTTTCCCTTGCGAATGAAATGAATTTTCATCGTGTTGCGTGAAACATTTGGCGTAAAAGAGTTTGGACTTAATTCTGCGCTTGCGTGAATGCTTTATCGTGAATGCTGATGAATTCAAAGCTTTTCGATGAAAATGAGTTACAACAAAATGCTGACAAGAAATGGGGAAATAACTTCTTTAGAAACTGAAGAGCAAGTTTAGCTTCCATAAAGTTTAGCATTCATGATTCTCACCGAGCAGTTTGGTAAATGTTATCAATGTTAAATAAAGTTTTAAATGGAAAGAAATGATGTGAATGCTGGCAGTCACACGATTTAAATGTTCACAAAATCAAAGCTTCAAAGTGGACCGAGCTTGAGTATAAGTATGAGAAGCAATGGTGTAGGGGTCTTCATTTAGAAAAAGACGATCAATTCTATTTATTCACAGTCAAATTTTAAAGGGATTATTATCTAGTACTTTATAACAAATACTGAAAAATACTGAACGTTTTTTGCAAATTCGTGAGTTTCAAAGGGAATTGAGTTCAAGCATTGTCTGGAAAGTTAATGGGTGGTTTTTTTTTTTTTTGGTTGGGAATAACTATGAAAATCTGAAAGAGATCTGAATTTTTCCCAAAGTTATTTGTTCAAAATTGATTCAAATACTTTTTTTAAGATGATTTTATTATGTTTGAAACGCTTTTTGCTTGAAAGTGCGTTTTTAGCCCTGATTGCATTGTGATGGGATTTATTTCGGTCGATGCAAAACCTTTTGGCTAATGAGAAATTCAAAACCCGTGAAGATATCCAAAATTGGATCGCCAAGTTTTTCGAGTCACAGCCGGCTGAGTTTTTCAAGAGCGGCATCAATTCTTTGCGCAAAAGATGGCAAGAAGTAATCAATAATAATGGTGAATATATTTTGGATTAAACTGTGCTGTTTCTGTTTTTAAGATAAATTTTGTCGACAACTAAAACGCTCGTTTATATCCGAATAACCTAATAGAAAGATTAATAAACCAGACTGAGGCCAAAAGTTTCTAGTTGATCGTAATGGAAGTCGGTTATTGTCGGATAGGGTTCCTTATTCCTTTGGATTAGCAGTTGTTGCTTGCTGTTTAGGACCTGTTTAGCGTTTGACCTATATATTGAGCACTGCTGGTTATTCCCAGTTTCTCAACTAACAAAAATTCAGGTTATTTTATTAGTGAGTGATATTTACTCGATGGGATTAGTTTGTTGGGAGATCATTGAGAGAAGGTTGGTTGAGTGGATTTTACACAGGAAACTTTGAAGCTCATCAAATGTTTAGTATGGTTATCAGATCACTGTTTTACTGTCTTCTCATCATAAGTAAATTAACTTCAGAACGGTTTTTTCCAAATATGGTTTGCACGACTTTAATCAATTCGCTCTATTCAATGATTTGAGTCATGATAGATTCACGTTGCCACAAGTCGATTGTGTACATCCGATTCGCGAAATCATAGCTAGGTGATTCATTCAGCCTAATCAACACAATACTCTCAATTCAGCTGCACCAATTTTTATCACGAAAAACGGCCTGATGCTCGAAGTGTTTATAAAAAAGTTTGCGAATATAATTCGGTAATTCTTCTATGATGTTCTAATAATATGCCCATATTCAGACATACAAAGACTTTGAGTTTACACCTTGTTTTGGCCCTGGCACAGCTCTATTACGGCCTATCGGATTTGATGGTACCAACATGGAGGTTGCTGTGGAAATGGGTGGGGATGGTGAAGAGGAGAGTCTCCCCTCGTCAACGAGCACAACACTTTATCATACTATCCCACGAGGGTTTGTTATAGAATTGAAAATCTTCCACATTACACACGCATTGCAGCCTTTTGGTCACAAAAAACAAGCCTTTTGATGTCATCAAAATAAGTTCAGAGGTTTCGCTTTTTAGTTATCACTTTCAGTTCTATAAAAAAACGGGAAGCCTCGATTTCGACGGGAGGATTTGAAAAGAGAAGCACAAAAGCTCAACGAAAATCGTGGACTGAAATCGTTTTTCCATCTTTCCTCAAATTACTGTACGTTTAAAACTATCTGAAGTTATCCCATCGTTTTAGCTTTTCTCGTGGTCACGGCCCTCCTTGATAACAACAAGCCACAAGAATTTTTCAATTTTACCAACATTGCATAAATTGTAACATTTGCATTGTATCTTGACTATGAAGATAAAAAGTCTTACAAAGTTTAGCAACAATTTTTTTTTTGAAATGAGTTCAGGGCATTTTTACCAAGTGTAAAGTTAAAGTTGGAAAAACTTGGTTGACTAATCATAGCAGGAAAAGGCTGCTTGTATATGAGGCAAACGCTGTTAAAAGAATCCTATAGGATCTCCCCTTTCATCCTTGCCTTTCAGATTTTTCCATTTGGTAAAGCACAAAGAGAAGAGAAAGGCAAGAATAAAAAACGCGACTTTAATCTGTGTGTATCTTTGTATCTTAAAGTTGACCTAAAATCTTAATTCCTCATCTCAGCGGAAATATTCTAATATTCGAAATATTCTAATATATCTAAATCTTATATAGATTGAACAATGTAAACATGTTTAATATATGTTCTTAAGCGTTTTTTGCAATTTTCTGCGCTTTTCAAAGAAATTTTATTGTCTTTTTTTGAGAATTTTTTGTTTTCTTGTTTTCCTATTAAATGCTGCTTTTTTACAGATGGAGGACCTTTTTGACCAAGAATTTGGCGTGTTTTTACAAAAGAAGAAAAGAGGACAAATTCCAACCGCTGAAGCCTACAATTTGATGGTTGAAACGCTCCACAATCATCGTGAAAACTGCCAGAAACCAAAACTACCACAAAACTACCACGAAAACAACTTGCTGAAAAGATTTGCGCTCGTGATTGAACAAAAGGAGCGCAGCTTTATCGTGTGGGCGAGAAAAATGGCAGCGGAGAGATACCAGCACAACAATGAGTGATTAAGCGAGAAGCGGTCTTTCAGCTCTTACACGAAACACACAAAAAACTTGGACACGCTGGAATAAACTTGATGTGGCAAAATCTCCGAGGATATTATGGTATTTCAAAGTGGGTTTTTGACTTTATTATTTTCTTTGCTGCTTACTGGCTCAAACTACATTTTTAGAGAAATCATCAGTCTCTACGTCAAATTGTGTGAAGAATGCGAATTGAAAAGAGAAAATTTAAAAAAACGGTCGTTGTGAGGCCAATCTTAACGCAAAAACAAAACGAGCGTTGTCAAGTGGATCTTATCGATCTCCAATCAACACCGGATGGTGATTTCAAGTTCATTCTAGTATACCAGGTGTTTTTTGTGAAAAATGTGAACGTTTTTTAACGAGCTGGAAGGGAAATAACTTATACAAAAATCAAAAAATCTCGTCGTGAATGTGCTAATTGTTAAAGTCTCAGACAACGGCCGAGAGTTTGTCAACAAATGTATCGACGATTTGGTTGGTATGTGGCCACACCGCAGGATTGTTCATGGAAAACCTCGGCACTCACAATCACAAGGTAGCGTCGAAAGAGCAAACGCTGATATTGAAGTAAGTTAAAAGGAGCGAGTTTATTTCATTTCTATTGCATAGGCAAACATAATTTGTTAATTTTGTTTTAGAACATACTGTGTACGTATCAACGTGATCAGCAAACTGCAAAATGGGCTGAATTTCTTCCGATGATTCAACTCATAAAGAATAGAAGATATCACCATGGAATCAGAAGAACTCCGCAATGTTTGGTAAAGACTATGATGATGAACGAGAAGTAAGGTATGTTTGAAATTATTTACACAATTTAACGCTATAAAAATAGGTAAAGGATTCAATTTTGCAGCACAGGATGCTGAAATACTTGCAGAAAGAGATAGTGCCCGTTCAAGTCTAATAAAACATGCCGACAAGATGTTACAAGCGTCTAAGGAGAGGTTCTTTCATGATCGTTTTTCGGTTTCACCTAATGTGCACAATTAGATTTCAGCCTTTGGATGTTGGAAAGAACGTAAGAATTCCAATTAATCCGGTTGATCGACCAAAAATTGGCCACCGAAATCTTTTGGGCGTTGTCACTGAAGGTTTGTTGAAGTGTTTAAATGCGGATCAGAAACTCGACTAAATGTTTAACCTTTTTCGCCGCAAATGACCAGAGAGTTAGATAAGAGACTTCTGCCATGAAACAAAAAGCTGATTGTAAATGTTTATGAAAAGTGTCTAAATGGGGAAGAAAGGATACGTATGACATACGGCCAATGGAATATGTTATTCTGGAGTTTACTTGGCAACCTGGCATATCCGTTCGGTATAGGGGCTTCCTTTTGGTGTCCGTAAAGGGGGAGAAGCGGTGAGCGACTGAGCATCGATAGTTTTAAGATAAACCGCCCGTTAAGGCACTAAAGTGCTGAACAAAACTTAAATTGTGTTTGATTTGTCTAGATTGGGTCGAAAATCTAAAAAAACCTGGCAAAAACCCGTTGGGTGCCTTCCTTTTGGGATCCGGAAAGGGCTTGGTGAGCAACTGAGCAACTGAGCCGGCTCCTTCACTTTGGGCATTACTATGCCCAAATTTTTGAGAAATAATTTTGCTTTAAATTTGGCTGTATATTTTTCCACAAATTTTTCATTCTGATGAGACCGAATTGGGACCAATAACATGGAAAATGCAAGAAAAAGAGTAAGCTGAAGGTTAACTAATTGTAAGGGCTACTGCCGTTTCCTAAACCGTGTTCCTTTTCTCTTTCCCCAGTGATCCTGTCTCTATTTTTACCCAATCTATCCACGTTTTGTATCTTTAGTACCATAAAAAAGTCCATCCTTATTACATGAAAAGTTGTCCTTTTATCGCCCAAATACGTAAGGAAGAATCTCTCTAAATCCCTTGTGAAAGAGAGCAAAAGATCCAATTGGTAAATTGATGAGTAAGCTGAAAATGAGCAAGCTGAAAGTTAACTAAGGGCTACTGTCTTTTTCTAAAATCTTTTCTCTTTCTACCGTAATCTTGTCCCTATTTTTATTCAATTCTATTCACTTTTTGTATCTTTTGTGCTTTAAAAAATTCTATACGTATTACATGAAAGGTTGCTCGTTTATCACTGAAATAAGTATGAAAGAATCTCTCTCGCTTCCGTGTAAAAGAGAACTCTGATAGGAATTATGGGTTATCAATGGAAAAGGAAATTAACCCGTAACTCATTCCATTTTCTTTCAAAATGACCAAAGTTTTAGCTATGCCAGGCTCGTGAAACCTTGTTTACAGTGAAACACAGAGTTTTGACTTACTTAGTTAATGTAAAATTCTTTCCGATACACTTTTCCGATTAATGCTTTCTCTCTAGACAAATTAGGGTCTGAAAAATGTATAGTAAAACCAATTTACGGGAACGGAAATCACTTTTACTTTCCCGTTTCTTCGATCTTACTGTATTCGATCAAAACAAGCGTCTCTCTTATCAAATTTGAGGTCAAAAGCAGCACGCTTTCATAAATTTCAGAATCCGCTTCGATACGTATTCAAGAATGCGGCCTAAATTTGACGATAGAAATTTTATGGAGCAGTTTTTAATCTCCTACAATTGTTGCTTGAACGTTAAATGGATTCGTTTAAGGGAAATCCTAGCAGTAAATTGCGTTATGAATTACTTATTAAAAGTAAGTTTAAAGCAAATTTCTTTAAAGAATTTTTCCCCGCAAAAAGAAAGAAAATGCAAACACTTTGAGTGTTTTTTATGAAAAAAAACATCCAAGACTTTGGTGTGAGCTTCGGAGTCTCATTAAAAGTTTCACTTTACACGATTCCAAAAGTGTTTCCGTGACTTTAGTGGTGCTCTTTTTTCACTAATTTTTGTAGGTCTGTTTTCCTCCGAGAAATTCAGACGATTCTTTATTTACATATAATGTGGAGATCATAACAAAATAAGAATGAATAAATAAATAAAGATATGCACTAAAGGGGAGTGACTGATGAATAGAGAAATGTTTCGAATTGATTGATTTGAAAACGGGAATTATCGGTTTTGTGAGATCATCGTTTTGAAGTTTTCAAGTGAAGTGAAGTGATAGAATGGGATCTCCAAGGATTCGAAGGAGATTCTAAAAATCGTATAAAAAAGGATATCGAAAGATACAAGAACTAGATAGATTCGATAAAAATAGAGACAAGATTACGGTAGAAAGCGAAAGGGAACACTTTTTAACCAACACTCGAGTCTACTGTCCACTACAATAAGTTAAAAGACAAGATATCAATTTCAATGAGTTACCTGCTTAACCGAAATCTCACTTCACAAGGCCCAATCGGGAACGGTTGGAATGATTGGGTCTTCGTAGGGTTGAGTCGATGAAGAGATCATTCTCCAGCCTTGTTTGAAATCTGAAATTATTGCTCATTAGTTTATTTAGATTTAGATCAATAATCGTTCATAACCAATATTAGTCAAGTAAAGCTAAGCTTACGATTCAAATAGTTGAAACACGTACAAATTTATCTAAAGTAAAGCTAAGCCTACGATTGCCTACAACAAGATATTCAGTCAAGTGGGGTAAGAGTCATGAAGTTATTCAAAAGATATTCTGTTAAAGATATTCATTTGAACCAGTGAAGCACTCTGAAAATAGGATAGTTCCCCATTTCCTTATATAGAGATAGATCACACAAAAACTTGCACAAGGCCCACGAAATGCAAGAGAAACCCACTTACGCAAGGGAAATAATCATTTCTCTCCAATCTTTTCATCTTTCGCATTTTTCCGTTTTTCTCACTTTTCTTCAATCCTTTCGTTTTCTCAGCGATCTCCTCACTTTTCAGCATATTTCCAGAGTTGATACGTATCGATATGGTTCGACACATGTATTTCTTAGGCTAGTCTTTTCATGAGCAAGTTGAAAATCGTTTACTTACCAGCATTTGAGAATATTGGTTGGGGAACTGTTTCGACAAATTGTTTTTTGTATGGAAATTTGTAGATGAACCCATCACAATGCAATCGCGGCTAAAAACGCACTTAGAAGCAAATAAATTTGAAACAGTAGACTTTTTAAAAGATCATCTTAAAAAAAGTATTTGAATCGAATTTTGAACAAATAACGGGAAAAATTCAGCTCTCTTTCAGATTTTCATAGTT